TTATTGGAGAGTTTAGAATTCTTATGTAATAATAGATTGTAAACATGCCTGATGAGTCCCTTAAGCAAGGACGAAACGTCGTGTGATGCTCTCAATCTCAAAACTCTATTATAATTAAATAAAATCTTAACAGACACACAATACCATTTACAAGCCACCATTTGAAATTTCAATAAATACTAAAATCAGAGACACAGATGATTCAATAACATTAACAACAGTTGCAAAAGGGTCTATTTCCAAAAACATATCCTATACTTTTATTGTATAAAAGTTGTCCCAAACTACCCAATCAGTCTCTCCCAAAGAGAAAAAACCTATCATATAATGCTTTGAATTTCGACTTCATACTTATTGTCCTTTAAATATATGGTTGTTATTTAATTGCGATTTGAGTATTAACTTCCTCATATATACTTGAGCGACTTATAACTTTTATGTAATAATGAAATTCTAAATATGCCTGATGAAGATCAGATTGAGCCTTGATCGAAACGCGTCGTGTGATGCTTTGAACTTCAAAAACTTATATTTATTAATTTAAATATACCGATTTTGTTGTTACGTCTTAAGTCTTTACTGCCTCAATACATATTATTGAGTGGGTATTGACTTGTCATGTAACTATAAGTTCTAAACATGCCTGATGATTGAACCCTTGAGCAAGGTTCGAAACACGTCGTGTGATGCTTTGAACTTCAAAACTTATTTTTATTAATTTAAATATATTGATTTTGTTGTTATGTTATTGAATCTTTACTACCTCATTTAGTTGAGTGAGTTTTGATTTATTATGTAATTATAAGTTCTAAACATGCCTGATGATTGAACCCTTAAGTAAGGTTCGAAACGCGTCGTGTGATGCTTTGAACTTCAAAACTTATATTTATTAATATATTTCTTAACATCTGCATTCATTTAAAGAGTTCGCGTAGATATGATTTGATGAAATAATAGACTCTAGACGCATCAGATACGTCCATTCAGCAAGGATGAAACACCTCATGCTTTTCTCAAAACACCCACAACGTCGAAATCTGGATCATGGCATCACTCGACATACCACTGCGAGAATGATAAGTACCGCTGCTCCAATAGATTCTTATCTTTGGAGTATCCTGTATACATATTTATACTTTGTTTTTGATTTCTTTATTGAGACCAGTCTAACAAGTATAGTAGAGTCACAGCCAACTGATGAGACCCTTCAGCAAGGTCGAAATCTGGATCATAGCATCGCTCCCCACACCCACACCCAGTTTATCTTCAAAAAAACTTTCGGATAATAGAAAACTATGATTACTATTAGATTGGAAGTTTCCTCAAAAACTTTTGACGATAGTACTTTATAGTAGGAGACATAAATTATTACTATATCATCCTTCAATCATTAGCAATTGATAAGATGACATATAAGCGTAATCAAAACGCGTCTTGCTAGCTTTTGATTGAGTATTTTTATTATTATACAAAACACACACTGGACAGGTAGAATAACAGTTCATCTTATCTGTTTTTCCTTTTTTTTTTATTTCAATTCACCCATCGCTAAATATGTTGATTTTTTTCATTGAAAACGTTTTTTATGTTGTACATCTACGCTGAGGACTATTGATAGGTTAAACTTATTTCCTGTTACAAGGTGACTTGTAATTGGAAAAACCATTTGAACCACTTGAAAGTTGATATAAAATAGTGTGAAGGTTATCGAAAACTGACAGTTTTTACAACTTTCTCCTAGTTTTCTAATTCAGGATGGATCTTAATGTCTTTTGATCGATACGTCCAGACAGTTTCATTTATATTTTCAATTCCTAGTTTTATTAATTTCTCAAGCATTGGTATGTCATCATGGAGCTGATTTGCTAGTTTCCTATTACCAGACCAGAATGGTAGGTGATGCAGATATGAACCAAATGCTGCATTAGAGAAACGAAAGTACATGGGTGTATTTAAGATATGTGCATGCCAAGCTTCATCAACCATTTCTGATGGTGAACCATGTAAATTATTTTTTAGTCCCGTATAGTAATTTTCTAATCCAATTATTGAATTTAGTGCATCTTCACGGTTCATATGTATTTTTAATTGTAAACGTTCGTTTAAATATAGGAGATCTTCATCTGGTATTATAACAATATCAAAACAAAAGGCAGAGAAATCAAGTGAATGTACAAATAACAGAGCAAAAATGACTAGAAAAAAATACAAAAAATTCTATATTTAAAAAAAGAAAAAAAAATAGCTTACAGATTAATTTCATATCCGATGAAATGAGTCAAGGAGAGTAATATATGGCTGAATGTTCCGATGTTTTTGTTTTTATCTGCGTCGTCTAGTACAAAAAGAGTTAGATATGACTATGTAGAGAAATACAGGCAGTAAAAATCCTGTAATAGAGGGTGAGAAACAGATGGATGGACGTTTCTTTTTTATTTTTATTACACCCGTCATTCAAAATAAAATCAATTTTAATTTCACTAGTGCTCAAATGTATTCGGTACCCTGGATCTCGAGCTCCTTAAGGAACCCTAACCTGACTCGAAATTTTGAAATTTTTCATTATTTGGTTTTCCTGCTCCACATGTACTTTCATATGTTCTCTATCTGTTGGTACAGTTTTCACACTTTCAATGTAGCTTTAAAGTACAAATAACATCGAAATGATCTATCAATTACCGTAGGAATATAGCACGATTTTCTTCTTTTTGTAGCGGGTTTCCAAAAACTAGGTTTTTTAGCAAAAATTTACGGCATATCCCCGTTTCTCTGACACAGTACATGCTACAGACCTGGAAATTTTTCTGCAGATACAAGAGATACTTTTGGGGTGCCGACTTTCTTTTTTGTTGTGAAAGATATTGTACTGCTGAGTTTTTCAGCTCTTACAAAAGAAGCACCATCTATAAAACAAAAAGTCTTTTTTTAGGATGCTCTTCGTATTTGGGCTGTTTTATTCGAACACTAAAAGATAGAATGAAACAGAAAAAAGTAGGCACCCCAAAGTGTCTCTAGTGTCTGCAGAAAAATTCCAGTTCTATAACACATACTGCTGCTGAGAAAGTGACATGATAAAGAGGTCGATTTTTAGCCATTGCGACTCCAATATCAAGCCGAAGGAAGCATTTTGGAATGTTGGGTCTATGACAACTTTTAATCCACACTTTGAGATCTATTAGCTGTGAAAGTTTCAAATTTTTCTGATGATCCGTTCTCGAGATACCACCGAAAGGGTGGTCCTCTTAAGGTCTCGTGGTGAGAAATCTTACTGAAATACCTTTCCCCGCTCACCCTGATCGCCGTCACAACCCGCACACCGATAACACTTTTATTTCACAAAATGTGAAATTTTATCAAGCTGGCATGGCGAGCTTTGTCTTTGATAGACACTACAAGATTTTTTACTGTATTTTTTGAAAATTGTCATTAGATAGAGCTTGAAAAGTTATCGTTATGGTTCAAACGTGACGTCGAAACGAGGATGACTTCCTGAAAAACTATGCGGATAAAAACTTTTGTGTTTGAACAAGAGTCAATTTCTGCTCCAGAATCGCCGTTTTTCTTTCAAAGGTTACGTTTTTTCGGCGTATAAAATTCAGGTTCGTGGAGAGCGTGAAATTCCGGATTATAAAAAATAGTTTTTCTTTAGATTTCAATGAATACTTATTTAGTGAAGGGCCTAATAAGGACAAATCGGGTCCACAGAGTGGTTAGGACTATTTAACGAATAAAGGCGGTTTGAGAGCCCTTTTTGTAATATTTGTAATCAGCTCCCCTGAATCTAAAGGCGCTTCTGATTTTGATTTACGAAAAAAGAAATTTTTTTCATGATATCCATAGGGATCCACACAGAAAAATCGTCAATGTCGTTTTTCGAGGAATACAGATGAAAAAAAGTGATCGGGGATCATTCTTTATTCAAACATAATAGAAATAAATTAATTCTAGAGGGGATCGCAAAACTGTCATACTCAGCCTCCTCCTTTGTCTGTAGTTTAATCCAAGGAACAGATTAGCACTATCTGAGGACAAAAAAATGAACCCCTTTCCCCAAGTCTTGACTGCTTTGTACAGCTCCTGTTTGATTTTGTGTGAAAGTTTCATACGATCATTTTCAGTCATAAAATCACGTCATTTTGTCAGTGTACATACGATTTCAGGAGGGAGAACGACGCAAAACTATTTACGTAGTTGGCGCATCGATGATTATCGACTGCCGCTTTGTTGTTTCGTTCATGAAGCTGTGAAGGCTTCTCTCCGATTCTTTTCTATTTCATTTTAGTAAATGTAGCCCGAAGGATGGTATGTAAACATCATGCGATGTTTACTCACTACGATTTGCAATTTACAAGAGTAGGCGTCCTTCAATATGCACAGATACGCAAATAACAGCTTGATGAGTGGAAATGGCCATGAAGCCGCTTTCATTCTGAGAAGGAGACTGTACGAGAAAGGTGGAGTATAAATCACTTTATTTAATGACGGAATATAATCATGAGGTAACAGATTCAGTCAGAGGAAAGATGGTTCCTTGTATTTCCGTTAATTCAGGATACCCCCTGGAAGAACTACCAATGCCAACGATGAATAATCAATAAATGCAGCTTTTCATTCTCGCAGAACTATATGACTACAATATATTTTTTTTGAGAGTCTAGGGAAGCTTTCGATCTAGTCGATGTTCCCGTGTCGGTAAAAGTGATCTGGTCCGAGTCTCGGTTCGGGTTTCGGTGCTTCTAGTATATGAGTTCCGGTCTCGGTTCTTTGAATTTTTCTGAGCCCCCACGTTGGTCCCGGCCTAAAAAGAACATTTGCGGATTTCCTTCGCATTGGGTCTTAAAAATTCTTGAATAGTCGTTTTTTGATTGGCGCAGTCGACGAATGTCACCTTTTTGGTCATCTCGGTGAATTTCACTTTTAATTGCTATGATTTATAATACAAATCACCGAAAATCATAGAAAATTTATCCACAATTTTAAGTGTCGTTTGGAAAAACGATTTTCATGGCGTTCTGGTTCCCGTGAGATTTCGGAAAGTGTGTGTGTTTTTTTTTTGATCCCGGTTCCGGCTCGTCTGGATCATAGTGGGCTGTGATGGTAGGTGTGTGTGTGTTGGTTTCTTCTTTGCTCACACCCACCCACAGCCATACAGCCATGTTCAACTCTAGTCATTTAGTCTTGGTTATAGGCAAATTTTGAGCTCGATCTCTTACAATCCTGGAAAGTTAAACCTGATATTTCCATTATTGGTAGTGCCCATTAAGGTTTACTGTGAAACATTTTCATGAAATTCTGACATGTAGTTATTGAGAAAATTGGAGTTCAATACTGAGTTTTCAGAAACGCCAGATCCTTCAAACCTGTATATCTTGAGCGAAGAATGCTTTCGAGAAATCTGACACATTGCATTTTAGTACGTACGGTATGAGCTTTGTTTTCATCCTAATATTTAAGCATCTTTAGCTAAGTCTATCAGTTTTATAGGCAGTCTTACTTAAGCAGGAAGTACCTGTTTTCCCAATTTTTAAAATGCTCCCAAACAATGAGTTCTAGAGATACAAATATGAATTATCTTTTACAATGACATATTTTCTCGCTCTACTCAATGATCGAATCGAAATATGCAAAGAACGTTCACAGAAAATAAAACGGATAGATCATGGGGCCAATTTTCGATAAAATTGACTTTTGTACCTCCCTTAACTGAACTTGGCGCATGATATGAATCGAAACTAAACATCATTTCCAACATAACTCGACAAGGGCTACAAGATTAGCATACCTAAATCATGCCTACAGAAGATTGTGTAAAAAATGGACGGAGCTGCATGGAAGCACTCTGCCCTCAATTCATCATAGAGAGTTGAGCTTAGTCTGAAAGGATTGCCCATTGAACTCACTACGAAGTAATCTGTTGTATTCAATTGCTCTAATCATCATTACTTCCGAATGTTTCATAAAAGTTTTGGGAACAATAATCGCAATTTTCCATATGCTGGGTTTTCGAAATTTTTGTGAATCGCGTTTCAACCACTTCATTACCTCGGATTTTGTTTTTATACACCATGATCTCTGTTGAAATATTTTTCGAAGGGTTTTTTCCTCAGGCATCTAGTCGCGAGTGGATAAAACTAAAATCCGAAGTAATGAAGTGGTTCAAACGCGATTCACAAAAATTTCGAAAACCCAACATTTGGGAAAATTCTGATCATTGTTCCCAAGACTTTTATCAAACACTCGGAGGTGATGATAATCAGGGCAGCTGAATGCAACAGATTATTTCGTAGTGAATTCAACAGGCAATCCTTTCAGACTCTAAGCTCAACTTGCTACGGTCAAATCTGAGTGAGGTATCTACCAAATATAAAAGCGGATATTCTTGATACCATGCTTGTTACTTTTTCCATGCATGTCGCTGTTCTTTCCTTTTTTTCATCATTTATCTTCTGATTCAAATAGACAGACGAAAAGCAATTTTTTTCTGGTGTCGCTGTCTTCTCAGCATGGGTTTTCATCATCCAGGTTGTAATTCCGTCACCCACTACAGAGAAAAATGAAAGAAAACGATTATTTTCATTTTTCTACCCAACAGAATTTATCGTTCTCTCAACCGAGTTAAAATAATTCTTTTGTGGCAAAAGTACGAAGTTGATCGCAAAACCTCAGACACCAAAAGAATAAAATTTTACACAGAAAATATGCCACATCTGAAATGTATATTAAGCACAGCTATTCCGATTGGCTTTTTATTGGCATCGAAATCATTATCACGAATAACATTACTTTAAGAAATTGATTTTTTCTAAATTCCTCACTAAGTACAGAGTACTATTTTTTTTTTTTTATATTCCAGAAAGATATTGCTATTGAATCATTTACAAGCAAAGTATGAATGCATTATTCGTTGGCATCCTTCTACTTATCGCTTGCTTTGCAACTATTCCGTGTCATCAAGGGATGGAGTCAAACATCGTTCCGATCATGCCAAGAGGTGAAGTAATTCGGTATTTGTTAAACCGACAAGCTTCGACAAACGCTTACAAACTTTGGCCTTGCGGTCATCCTTGCGATAGTCCTGATACTTGTCACGAGGATTGTCGTCGTTGTGAAGATGACTGTAATCGTCCTGTGGGTTGTACACACTAATTAATACTGAAGTACTTTGCTCAGAATTAAAAATAAAAGGAGAGTCTATTTCGCCGACATATTTCATGTTATTTCTTGAGGGTGTACTGCATGTGGTTGTGGTGAATGAGTGTAGTC